GCAACATTCTGGGGCAGACAGAAAAGACATAGTTGAGTTCTTTGTTTCAAAATTTTGTCCAATTAGCATATATTCGTGTTTAGTGCAACTGTACACAACACCGTGGAGCCAAAAATTGTAAGAAAAACTCAAAGTCAACAATTTGACTATCAGTGTTTTTGGCTAACGGAAAAAACTTGTTTGTTAGTTAACTCATAAACATCGCTCACGTTATATAATTACCATGAAGGTAATGGAAGAGAGTGCAGGCTGCTTCATAAAAATCATTGAGATAAAAGATTAACCCCGAGCTGCGCTTCCTTTCTTCTCTAGCTTTCCCCGTCTAGCTTTTTGCTTGATGTTATATTGTCTAAGTTGAATGGAATTTCGGAGTAAAGCGTTTCTCACAGAATTTTGAGCTAAAGGAAAATTCATTGCTTAGCATCTGCTCTATCATTCACCAGAGCTTGAACCGATGCAATTCCCGAACTGTTGCCAACAAGGAGACGTGGTAGGAAATGACGTGGAGCGCAAATCATGTCGTAAAAGAGAGAAAAGATGAAAACCACTTACTCGGAACACATCTGGCATGATTTCGTACATATGGGCTTTCTCAAAGAAAGCCATGGACTTTTCAACAAGATTCACGAGTCCAGCAGCAGTGAAGTGGCGAGATTCACAGATTCCTTCAACATCCGGGCTGAAAACAAAATTTAAAAAAGAAGGAACTTGCGAGAAGCAGCTAAAAGGCTAAGGTAACAAAGGAAATTAGTCACCCCAAATGCAGTTAAATTTTAAAAAAAAAACTATGTTAGTAATTGAAACAAAACTAAGTTTACCTAAGAACATCATCGCTAACAGCACTTTCTTCTAGTATGTTGTCACTGATGCGCTCAAAGTCGACTGCCCCACGAGGCATAAAGCCATCAGTGGTGCTCATGGCTGGAAAATGAGATTATTTTGGCAAAACTAAGTTTCTGGAAGAAATCTTTGAGATTTGATAAATATTTACCAATATACTCAGCTGCCAAAGCCGCGGCATGGAGAACACATTCTCCAGCTTCGCAATACAGCTCACGATCTGCGTGTCGAGAAGCCATGTTTAGCAACCAGGTCAATCTAGGATGAAACCATTCATTACAAAGACAGGAGTAAAGTTGATAAGAACTTAGAAATTGAGAAAATCAATACGGGCAGAAAATAGAAGCTTTTTTGCATAAGAAGCTATGGACCAAAAGAAGATTTGATTTGGGAAGACCTGTTTAGAGCAGCATACATGGCATGCAATAGACCTTTTTTCGAACAATTTGGATATTCGAGATCTATTCCTGGATGAGAATCTAGAAGAAGAATCAAAGAAAAACAACTGCAGTCATGCTTAGACCCGATATTAGATAGATAGCTGTTTGCCACAAAAGATTTTAGTCATTTAGTCATGATTGCATGGAAAATTCCTCTGATACTTCCAGTACAACCAAAACAATTTTCGTGCTAACGTATCACTGCCTCTTCCCGATACAAAACCGGCATGATTAAAGTAATTCACGCCCCCGGATGATGCGACCAGATTTTGAAAAAAAAAAACTAGAGGAGATCTTGATATTCCGTGATAAATTCAAACTTGTTAAGATCACCTCAAGTCAGGGTTTGTCTGATATCCTTTGGCCACGCGATACATCAAATCTATAGTCATTTCAAAGTCATTTGCAAATTCTTTCAGCTTCACTGTATCCGAAAGTATCATATGGATGTT